GGTGCTATTTGCAGCAGTTCCTGGCCGGACTATGTAAAGAACCTGAGAGCCATGGCAGCCAGTTCCCAGCACACTTGCCAAGCATTCTTCTCACTCATGCTTTCTGCGTGCTTCAAATTAAGGAAACACACTCACAGTTCGCAGCCTGCGGCCATTCTTTTTCTTCTCACACACACTCATTTCTGAACACCACCCCTTCTCCCCATGGATGGTTTCAGTGGCTGCCTGCAACTTGTCAACAATGACGAGAAGACTCTACACAAGACCCTCCGGGGAAGAGAGAGAAAGGGATGGCGTTTGTCAATGCAAGGTGTGAAACCCTAACCCTAAAGTTGCCAAAGGCAGTAGCAGACAGCGAGGCTGGCAGTGGATGGGGAGCGGGAGGGGATTGGAACTCACAGAGCTGCGCATGTGGAGGCCTGCACCAATTCCTAACTCATGTCTGCAACCTACAATCTTAAAACACCGAGCTGCGCATGTGGAGGCCTGCACCAATTCCCAACTCATGTCTGCAACCTACAATCTTAAAAACACCTTTAAACCCCATTGGATGCACCAGGCCTTGTTTACGTCTAGAGTGTAAAGTTTTCAAGGCCACATCGGATATTACATAGAGATGTTGTATGGGGTATTCGGATACTAATAAAAAAACAAATTATAGGATCCGTCAGTAAACCGCGAGACGAATTTATTAAGCCTAATTAATCCGCACTAGCACATGTGTTACTGTAGCACCACATTGTCGAATCGAGGACTAATTAGGCTTAAAAGATTCGTCTCGCAGAGTGTCATAATCTGTACAATTAGTTATTTTTTAGTCTATATTTAATACTCTATACATGGATCCAACATTCGATGTGATAGAATATAAAATATTTAGGGAGAATTAAACGAGGCCTTAAAAAATGGCTTCAGATGTGGGCGCCTCCAAATTTCGAGGTGCATGGGCTCCCGGCCTTTCCCGATGAACCAGTGCTGGAGTACCCTTTTCTTTATTAGGGTTTTGTACTTTTTGGTCTTTGGGCCTTTCAAGTGCTACTCATCTTGTTTTACCGAGGAGAGAGGGAGAATAAATGGCGCCTGAACATGAATAGATTTGGATGGCTTTGCATTGGTGTGGCTTATTGTTTTTCTTTTTCTCTATAAAAAATAGAAATATTTCTTTGTTTCATGATTTTGTACCTTAGACTTATTTTCTGTACTGATGTATATAAATATAAATATATATTAATTGACCAGTAGGGGCTGGGCAACCCCTCCTCTCAATCTTTCAAAAAAATATTCAGGAAGAAGATTTTGGGTTTCTATTGAAACTATGTGATCTTAGGCCCTATTTGGCAAGTCGGAACGGTTCTGATTCTTACCATAATAGTTAGAATCAATGCCAAATTAAACGTGGTGAAACACGTTTCTAGCCAAAAACACCAGAACTAACTCTCAATATTTTGCCGAAGAGATTTAGCCATTTAGGTAAACCAAACACATACGGTAAGCATGATCACTGTCCCGTTGTGAGTCGAAAGGCATTGGGCTGATAAAATGGAGAATAAACACTACTGGGGCATCGAACCAAGAATTCTACTACCTGTACTTTGGACACATTTATGCAAAAAATGCCCTATTTTTAACACATAACTGAAAAATAAGGTAAATTAAGGACACAATTTGTGGATTCGTCTACAAACCTAATCTAAGGAGGAATGGGAAGGTGCTAAAGGGCAAGCTAGGGCTTTTGCCCTGGTGTTATTATTTTATTAATAATAAAGATGTCCGGGCTATAGGGATGGAAATGGACCAAACACAACTTGACCTTATTAGATGCAATCTAGTGGCTCAAGATCAATTTTACGGGTGACGGGCTAACCCATTTCACCAAAAGGCTATGGCTTCTCTGGCCCAGTTGGTAGCATGAGGCGACACAAAAATTTCTGCTATCATGGGTCATGAATACTATAAGCGCGAGAACATATCCTTGTCCCCATGCCCTTAGGTGCTCCTGTACCCAATTAAAAAACCATCAAAAAGTGCTTGAAAATTTTACCCTAAAATATGAATGAATAGATGATGAAAACATCCATCTTCATGCAAAATTCTACAAGGAGAAAAAAAGAAAATTAGGATGAAATTGATGCGGACTGCAGATCGAGGTAAAGAGTGCACCCGGCAATTCTATCATTGGTTTGTCATTTTGTTTCTCCTAGTACACATTTTCCTCATCCTCAATTTTTGCATGAAGGTTATTAGCAATGCATCAAATTAAATAAGTTCACAAGTAAACCATGATTTTAATTTTATCTATCGTCACTTTGAAATATGGTATTCCTCGATCTACTTTCAAGCATAGACATGCTTACATGTTATGACCAACCCTTTTATTTTTATTTTTTGGAAAACAAAGAAGACAAACAAAATAAAAAGTTGTTACCTGACATTTGAGAATCTTATCCATCTAGTAAATAGGTTTGAGTCCTATCGGTCCATTTTAGACTTTGAGGCCAGCTTCTCTCGCCCATTACCGACTACCCATGGGTCGATCTGGTCCATTCTCATCCTGGTGGGCTGAGTAGGTTGGGAGGCTCCAATCTACTGGGCCGGATGGGTTATTTTGATCGGTGCCTCGGTGGGCTAAAAATCGGGACACATGCCAGCCCCTGCCCCGCCCCGCCCCGCGCCGCCGCCCCCCCCAGCGCGCTTGGAGATAAGGCACGGCACCGCACCGCAGCAAAGCTGTTCGAAACATGGCCGCCGGTGGCGAGCTGGACGCCTTCGACGCCGGCCGCTGTGCGGACGGGTACGCCCTGGGCCTCGCCGTGGGCCGTCGGTTCGCTGAGGTCATCAGGAGCAGGATGCGGCAGGACCTCGTGCTCCGGGAGCAGCTGCTGCCGTTCGCGTCGACGGCGGAGGCGCAGCCACTCTCTCGCCGCGCTCCAGTCCGCCAACAGGGAGAGGTACCCGCGGTACTGGGACGAGCTGGTGGGCACCGCCGACGGCAGCGGGGTCCCTCTCCACGTAAGTACAGCGACGCACGCCGCCGGTGTTCCTGGCTTCCTGCCGCTGACTGCGTCGTTCCCGTCTCTTGCTTCCGTCGGTCCGGCTCCGAGCAGGTCATCCTGGTCAACTTCAGGAAGGAGGTCCTGCCCTTCATCCCGAAGGACCCGAAGGAGGAGGTGATCGCGCCCGGGAAGAGGAAGTGGAGGAGGAGGAGGCCGACGATGACTGCTCCGACGTCCTCATCGTCAGCGACTCCACGGCGATCGCCGCGCACAACGAGGACGGGAACGTCGCGCTGCTCGGCCACACGTACCTTGTGCGGGCCACGCTGCCGGATGGCGTGTCCTTCACCGCCTACACCTACGCCGGCGAGCTCCCGAGCTGCGCCTTCGGGTTCAACACCAATGGAGTGGTAAGCTCGCTGCAGTCTGCATTTCTATTTCCACATCAATCAGATTCTATTCCATCCAAACTGAGGAGTTTGGAATACTCGCCCGTTTCTCAGGCCTTCACGCTCAACGCGGTTCCTCCGGTGAACGACGAGATCGTCGCGGGCGCCATTGCCCTGAACTTCGTGTCCCGGGACCTGCTAGAAGCGAAGAACCTCGAGGATGCAATGCACGTACGTAGCTAGCTAGACTGAACTCCATGTCACTAGCTCTTTTTTCAGCAGTAATAAAAGCCACAATTGATCGTGGTACAGAGGGTCTGTTCACCGTTCGTCTCAGTCGGCCACAACTACAACCTGATGGACATCAGAGGCCGGAGGATCGTCAACGTCGAGACCGCCTCCGGTAACCGGTTCGCCGTCCGCGAGGCCGGTGCCTTGCCGTTCTTCCACGCCAACATGTACCGGCATCTCCAAGTGAAGCAGGTACGGACATCGAAGCCATTGGATTGAATTGATTCGGCAGTTCGATGGCTGACGAACTGACGAGTGAACTGGCGTTGTGTTGAGAAGGTGCAGGACGAGAACTCCATGAGCAGGGAGAAGAGAGCTGCGCAGTGCCCAGTGGACTCCAAAGAGACGGCGCTTTCGCTGCTGGGAGATACAGCTGATGAGAAGTACCCAATCTGCATGACAGGCGATTCTCAATCTGCTCAACATTTTTTTTCATGTGTTCTGATGAGCATTGGTTGTTGCATCATGAACTGATTTTTAACACCCTGGGAACTGCTTTTCAGGTCCGATATTGTACACTTTGTGCACTGTTTTGGTTGACCTCGACGAGGCGACCATGACCATATACAAAGGAAACCCGAAGAACGGAAATGCAGCTCATGTTCTTCAGATGTTGTGAAACTAGCAGAATATCTTAGCTTTATGTGAGGGCTCGATAACCACTCCCGATTCTTCATTATATTTATACCTGAAAGGTAGACAGGTTTTGGACACTACGAGTGTCATTGAAAGAACTGAGCAGAACTCCATTTTCTGAACATTATACATTGCTACAGAAAAGGTAGAAGGAATACTCTGAAATACAAAAGCTGAGTATCTCCGGTCACTGGCAGCGCATGTTCAATCATCTTTTTTTGTGTACTAACAGGAAATGGGGAAAGTGTACAAGACTGAAAGCCCAAAATAGTTCAATCAGGTTCATCATTGTTTCTGGAATGAACCTCAGTGCGATCGTCTTTGCATTTACAATGCTTAGATTCATATACATATACTTGTAAATAATGTAAGGGGAGATCCAGTAGCTTCATGGGATTCATAGTTTTCCACCTAGTTGCATCTTCCACCCAGTCTCTGACTTAGTGTTTCAACTACACGTCATGCTGATGATAAAAACACTGTTCTTGGATAAAAAGCAGAATTCTCACCACCAGCAACAAATCACTCTATGCAAGCCTAGGACTTCCCATGCGAACAATGAAGTTCCTGTGGGCAATCACGTTTGATAACACATCAATGTACTATCATTACGATCAGCTAAGCTGATTTTTCATTGTCCGGACAAAAGATCAGTACTTCTTTGATGAATTATGGGAGCTGGAACTCTTTGTCAAGTCACTATCTCAACTATGGTAATCGCAGCAAAGGCCAAGAACAGGCTCCCTCCAATGTATGCTACAATCTGCACAGGGCAATGTTTTGTTTCAGTGCCATTATGTACACAGACTTTATGAAATGAATGGTCCACAGAATTTATCAAAGATTTCATTAGCAAGCCAATAGTTGTTGTTTTCTTCACTAAGGGCGTACCCAGTGCATGTTGTTTTCTACACTAAAGTATGTAATTGTTTAATGGATGAAAAAAGGATTCCTTTCTATTACACATTTAACTGCTTATGTAAACACTTGTGATGGATCCAACTGAAACACATTGAAAGCAAACTTATAAATTGGGTGTATTTTAGATTTTGCAGTGGTCAAACACTGTAAGATAGGAAATTTCAGTTTCCATGGTACAATTATTTCCTAATTTACCTTTTCAGACAGGAATGTTCCCAGCAAAGAGCCACCAAGAACTGCAATCTGTGAGAAAAAAAGGTGTCAATCTCAGTTTGGCCTGGAAAACCAAAGACAGAAATATAAAAAATTGCGGCACAACACTGATTGGTACACAATGACAAATTTGCTCCTTGTACTCAATCCACGACAGAAATTCTTGTATGGCGAATACTCCAATGGAGCCAAGTAAGTGCAGAATTGCAGACTTCCTAATGCACAACAATTAGAGAAGACTCTTGCAAGAAACAAATACTGCGGCAAAAACAGACCAACGAACTAACAAATGGTTTAAGTGCTAAAGATTTGTCTGAACTCCATGGCAATATTATTATGCTCATTGCTCAAGTATGTTAGTCATGAGTGTTCCTGCGAACCAATGTTGTCTGGCTGCACTCGTATCCAGCAATGTACTATCATTACTTTTTTTACTTCAGTTATCTGGTTTCAAATCTCAACTCTCAACCTATTACTATGCTTATCTTACCAATGTTGCAATGGCATGACCAGCAAGTGATCCTGCAATGACACCCAGAGGGGATGAAGCTGCCGCAAGTGCTGCCAAGGTATTGGAAAGTAGTGTCAATATTGATTATGCTCATGGAAATCTGACCATTTATAGAGTGGAGTTAGGAAATGTACCAATTGTGGAGAAAAAATGATTTATCACCCCATTCAGCTTAATAAAACCAATACGAATGTGCTAGTGATAATACCAGCAGCAGACATGACACCCAAACCATTTCCAGAAAATTTCGATACTGCTAACTCGGCCTACAATTGTTCAACACAATGTTATAGAGAGAGAGAAGTATGTTCATGCACAAGAAAAATTATTTTGTGAACCACAATAACTGTGCAAGTTACCAATCTATCATAAGGTATATATTTTCTTTCTGTTTCGTTTTTTTTTTTGAGAATAAATTCTATTTTTTTCTCGTGGTCCAACTTACATACATATAATTTTTGCATAGTTTTGAGTTTTCCTTTTAAGGATATAATGTAGAAATCATGTTAAGTGTTACAGTACTCTTAGAAGGGCTTCATTATAAGCAGAAGATAGGCCAAGAAGGAATGGATTGGGCTATTCTGTATACAGATAAAACTTGGAATTGAAGATGAAAGCAGGAGGCTGGAGAACTGAGCCTAGCTCTGTTGGCGGATGTGTGCATGTACACTCCCAACACCAAAGTTCGTGTCATCTTCAACTCAGCAAACCATTAGCAAGCAAAATTGAACAAAAAAGAACATGTTTAGAGACCATTATAATCAGTAGTGAAAACTTAGAGAGAATATACAGGCATGAAAGACATTTACTAGATCAAGATTATGAATTAATACCTAGAATTGATGTATTAGTTAAACATGAAAACTAAAAATGATGTTCTTGGCACAGCTTAAAGTCCTACCTCCTCTTGCTCCTCATTGATCTTTTCATCATCACCTGAGGCTGCATCAAGTAATGTAGTAACCCCATAATAAACCTGAATCCGTTAAAGTTGGCCATAAATAATAAAGTATGTCTTAACTTCACACAATAATTCAAGAGTAAAAGCCACACATTCTTTTAAAAAATCCATGCACTTTTTAATTTGTTTGTGTGTAATGAATATGCATAATCCTTACCAACAGACATGCCGCAGCAATGTCATCAACTGGAAAATCAGTACCACCAAAGCTGCACGCAACCAGACATTGGATAAATGAGAGCACCCAATAGAAACTCTACTTGCACAATTAAGATAATTACCCGAATGGGATGATGCCATCAACATAGTGGAATGCTCGACCAAGAACTACAGATATAACGGTCATTACCCTGATAATCACCAGAAAAAAGAATTCTATGTAATGCCAGATATACCGGGAACTTCAATTATGAAACTAGAAGCACTTAAAGCCTGTGACAGTATTGAAGATGAGACATAGAATACAACAAGCATGAAAATACTTACGCAAGAGCTCCAAATGTGCCAAGAAAAATGACTGCTCCAGAACTTCTAGCCGCTAACAGTGCCTATCAAACACATGCAACTGCAGCATTTATCAATGACTCATTTTAGTATATATTACTGAAAAATTATTGTATGGTATAGATGCGAAGCAAAGCAATTTGCAAGAAACAAACATATTTTTGGAAATAGAAAATATTTCTTTCATGACATTTACAGCATTCACTAATACACAGTCTCCCTTGAACACCCATATCTGTGCAGCCCATCTGTCTAGAGGGCCAAAAATCAATATATCCTATATAACTATAACCCAGTAAGTGCCATGAATACTAGCTTTTCTCTTCTCTTGCAAAGGCACGTCATCACTATTGTTTTAACCATTTGATCTTAAAATCTTAAACATTCATCTTATCTTGGCCGTCTGTTGTCCTCTGTCCTTACCACATCTGTGCCGCTTCAACTCCTTCGGTAGTTTCAGTTGCCATTGTGGATACATCAATTTAATCGGCTGCCCTTCGGCCCTTCATCTTCCACTTAATACTTCCGTAATACACCCTGAACCTATAATTGTCCTCCATAAGACCTCCTCACATCCAACAGAATACATCCCCTCGATTCTCCTGCTATCTCGTCCCAATGAATCTGAGAGGTCACCGATGTCATTCTTCATTCCTGCGGTAGCCTCTTGCTGTTCTGGCATGCAAGCAGAGGCCTTAATTGCTGTTCCATAGCCCATGCTTGGGGAGTTGGGGTGACAGCAGTCTGCACCATCGGCACAACATCCTCTTCTTTTTTTGCTCCAGCTATACTACTATGTTTTGCTTCAATTCCTGTCAGGCATCTAACCCTGCTGCAATCTGCATTTTATTTCGGCAAGGTACCAGTTGCGTTCATACAGGTACAAATTGGATATTCAGTGTTGAGTTGACAAGATGTTTTCAGTTTATAGTCTACACTCTTCAGCCTTAGAGTTAACATACGGTTTAATCAATCAAACTGTTCGTAATAGTAAGTACATCTGATGCGACAGAACAATCTAACTGTATTTGGGGAGCGAACACTAGTACTTACCGCAATAAAGAATGTTCGGTCCCCTAGCTCAGAAAAGAAGATCAACAGGAAAGCCTGAAATTCAGAACAAAAGTGGATAGAAAGATTAACGACCAAGCAATTCGCATAAAAGGAAATGTATCTGAATACAACAATCAATCTGCAGGTAACTGTACACAAAAAATACATGAGTTGGGAAATCATCAAAGAGCAGAGATAGTTGTCGTAACTGAAGCAAAACCTGTACTGATGTCCCTGAGATCCCCAGCACGTCCGCCGGCTGCAGGCCGGCGAACTGCGCGGCGGCAAGCGCCTGCTGCGACCCTGGAGCATTATCACCCCCGCCACCGCCGCGAACGCGAGCCCGCACATCGACGCGTCGAACTGTGCGGGCCGCCTGACCCTCCCTGATCCGCTGGCCGGGCCGCCTTCCGAGCCGACAACAACCCAGCGCGTCCTCCGACCGGCTTCCCTGAGTCGCATTTCGGGAGGCACCTCAGCACCTGCAGACACGACCCGCGCCAGGTGATCGACGGCAGTCAGTCGAAAGGGGGGCGGGGGGCGGGGGGGGCGCGTACCGAGTGGCCCGGCCGCAGCAGTAGCCTTGCTCGGAATGGAGTTGAGAGGGAGGAGGAGAGTACGGTTGAGCAGGAGGAGGCGGCGGCGACGGAGCCCATGGCACCGCGGCCGCGCTGGTGGTGGTTGCGGACGGGGCGGAGTGAGCGGACGGACCTCCGCTTTTCTCTCGGGCGTTGCGAGTGGATAGAGGAGCTCGAACGGAAGACTGGTGGTCCGCTTCCGCGAACGGGCCCGGATTCGTGTGACGTATTGGGCTGGCCCACTATTCTGGGTAAGCCCATTGTTATGGTTCTAGTTCGAAGTGTTTCTCTTCGGCCACGGCGTTCGTCTACCCAGTTCCTCGTCGGTTCGGAATCGGAACACGTACAGGATCCGGATCGGGATCGGAGGGGGCTGCATCGCAACCGTTCGGTCGGTGCACCATATATAGTGCCAGGCTTCTTCCCTCTTCGTCTCAACTAGCAGCAACGCGCCTTCATCTACTAGCGCAGCACGGCAACAGCAACTAGCCTTCAATAGTTCAATCCTTCGTCTACCAGCGTTTCGGGATATTTAACTTTTTATCATTATAACGGATGTCACCTCTTCATATAGCACTATTAAAATTGCTTCTATATATTTACAATCAAGTGAGATCATTTGATACATTCTTGTCATTTTCGACGACGTGGCACGCCAACTCGACTCGACAAAGATAGACACCACCACGGAAATAATATTTTTGCCCTCATCTATTTCTTCTATCTCTATCCCTTCCTCGCCGAGCTCTCCCTCTCTCTCGCCTTCCCGCCATTTTCTCCCTTCCCTCCCCGGCGGGCGACGCTGAGACGAAGCTGACTTAACGACGCCAAGCTTGCTACGGCCAAATTTCTCCCTTCCTCCCACCCCCCGCCAAGCGGACCCGCGCAGAGCATCATGATGCCTTGCGGCCGGGCTGCTGGTGGCATGGGCCACGGCGGGCTAGTTGCCCGCCGCCGCATGCTGCCCCCTCTCCCGCGACCTCCTGCGGCCGACCGGCATGGCTCGCCTCTCCTCGGCCCGTCTGTGCTCCCACCACTCCGATGTTCATCAGGGTCGTCCCCCTTGTCGGTTTGGTTCCTCCCCCATCTCTCTTCTTACCTCTCCCTATGGGATTTGACTCTCCCAGCGCTCGCGGAGGCTTGCTCCCCTTCGCTATGGACGACGATCTATATGCAGACGAGCTATTCGCCTCTAATAGACGAAACCCTACCTGGGTTCGTATTGATCGGTTTGGCTTCAACAGATTGGGTCTATGTTGCTTTCGCCTCTTACTAATAGTTGATTTCTGCTCTCTGCTGACAAACCGTTCTCCTGGCAGAAGGGGAGGAGCCGGACCTCGCGCGGCCGACCATGGGGGAGGCACGCCGGAGATGGGGACGCACACGCGGTAGAGCCCACGCTCGCGGCGGATCTCATGCTTGCGTTCGCCATCGGAGCAGCATTGCTAGCTGGGGTGGTGCGCAGACCTCGTGCTCGCCGGCTCACGTCTGGGAGGGAGGAGGAGGCAAAGCTGAGAGGCGCGTAGGCCGGGATGCTGAGAGAAGCGATGATGATGAGACGGATGAAGAAGAAATAGATGAGGGGTAACAAAGTCATTTCAAGATCCCACGGACACGGCTTGGTTTCCCTACGTGTCTTGCCACATATACAAAAATAACTTAAAGTTATGAATTATTCTCTTTCAATGATAAATATATAAGAGCAATTTTAAGAGCGTTGTCTGAACACGTGACGTCCTAAAAAAGTTAAATATCGCCAGCGTTTCCGAGCCACATCGAGTCAGCGATCCATGGCCGCCGTCTCGGAGCTGGAGGAGGAGGAGGAGCCGCCCGAGGAGAAGAGCAATGCGGCGGCGGTTCTTGCGTTGTCCCCTGTCCCCTGGCTGGCTGCCGTGGCGGAGCGGTACGAGCGCCGCTAGAAGCTTGGCGAAGGCATGTTCAGCGACGTGTACGAGGCCTGGGACCGCGTGCTGGAGTGCTTCGTCGCCGTGAAGTGGCTCTCGGGGGAGGACCGACGACAGCTTCGTGGCGACCCCTCTCCCCGACTTCGAGCGGGAGGTCATGTCCCTCGCGGCGTGCGGCGGCCACCCTTCCGTCGTCCAGCTCCTGGCCGCGTACGCCGACTACAGCCGTGCCGACGGCGACTGCTTCGTCGTCACGGAGTACGCTGGGCCCATGAACCTGCGCCAGTACGTCCGGCGCCTTAACGGCCAGCCGTTCGACGAGGACGAAGTGCGCGACGTCATGGAGCAGCTCCTCGCCGGCACGAGGCATGCGCACATGGCGGGCGTCCTGCACAGGGACATCGTCCCGGAGAACGTGATCGTCGACATGGACGCCGCGAGCGGCAGGATGGTGTACAAGATATGTGGCTTCGGCATGTCGAAGCCGGCGGCGCAGGCGGACAGGGACGACTCCGGGCCGCTGGCGTCCGCCAGCCCGTACCGCGCGCCGGAGCTTTTCCTGGGATCCAAGGACTATGACGGCCGGGTCGACACGTGGTCGCTCGGCTGCATCATGGCCGAGCTCGTCGCCGGTAACGGCGTGCCTTTCTCCGGCGCGCCGGACGGCGAGGTCTTCAAAAAGATGCTGCAAAGTGGTTGGCACAGAGGGCATCATCGAGTGGCAGGGGCTGGAGCGCGTGGTGCCGGCCGAAAAGGTGGCCTTCCTTCGAAAGATGGTCAGCGAGGAGGGCGGTCACCTGCAGCTGCCGGAGGTTCTGTCTCCGGCTGGGTTCAAGGTTTTGGTAGGACTGCCGGATAGCAACCCAGACCGCAGACTCTCAGCAGCGGCCGCGCTTCGCAAGCAATGGTTCCGGCGCGGTTGCTTGTTCGGTGCCTGGTGCTTCATGCCTCGTGGCGACGTTGCCCCTTAATTGCTCGCATAAGCATCTGGGTGCTGCGTAGTAGAGTAGTATTTAGTTATGAACTCGATATCCGTTTGCTCTTATAGTTCTTTTTTATGCTATATATTTCTTTCCTTTTTCAGTTTTTGCAACGCAAATGTAGCATTGAGTGATGGATGTCAGTCCTGGATCATGACGGCATCCATAGAAAGTGCATAGCTGTAAATATGTAGCACGCTGCAAATTAATTCGGTAGAATTAATAATACGAATTAATTCATATGAGTTTGTAGTTGATGTACTGGTTGCACTTTTAGTCTCCTGATGTAGACCTTAAATAGTGTTTTTTTTTAAAAAAAAATATATATATATATATATGGATAGTCAGGCACATTGATCAATCATATAAAATAACAAATCACTATTAATGAGATAATAGGACCGTTGCCATGCTGTCCAATCCACTGCCTTTAGCTCTCTAGTCACCACTGCCCACAGTTGCCACCTCCCTACTCTCATAGTCTCATTACACCTCCATCCACTGTACGAATGTTCCCATCCTGGTATCATACTCTCATTTGTATTTCCCCCTGAAAAGTCTGCGTGAAGTAGTTTGGTCCTGATTAAGGTTGCTGAGTTGAGCAGCTGGTCTCACCAAAGAATCGGCATCTCACAATGAGGAATGTGAGCATGTGCAAAATTGTTCTTGGGGAATTATTTCTATATATATGATGTATAATGGTTAGGGACAGCATGTCTAAGGGGCGATTTGTGGGCTTCTGGATGCAGTGAGGTTGCCCAGGCATTGCTTGTCCTACATCTTTCTGCAAAACAATTGGAAGATCATATTCCTATCGGGGTCGGAAGCATTATTCCTCCAGCATCTATTGTCCATTACAAGCATGTTCTCTGAGATCAGAATTCGGAAACAATGAGGCAAGCAGAGTATGAGAAAAGTGAAGGTTTTCACCAGGACCAAAATCGTTGCTGTACTGACACTCACAACAGGAGTGGGGCTGTGGGGGTGTGGAGGCTCAGCTCAACCCAACTTCCGTATCAAATATGTGGTTCGTGTTACAGGTGATTATTCGATGTGACCTTTGTTTTTCTTCTTATTAAGCTTCAGCATTTTGGACCAGCCAACATGTGGGCATGTGGCTTTCATTTTTTTAAGCTGACTAGGTTTCGTCTAGGATGCAAAATCCTTTTACGTTCAAGTTTGATACTAGCATTTATATAGTGGATTGATGTAGACTTCTTGCTGCTAGTGCTACGCGTTTGGAACCATTTCCTGAAATTTATATACTCATGTGAATGTTCTATTAGAGTATGAAATCTGCGTGTGTGAATAATATGAAAATAATAGGTGTTGATTCTTCTGATTATCACTACAAAAAAAACTATTTATTTCAAAATTGTGTACTTTGGTTTATCTTGGGCTCTTGGCTATTAAATAGCGGGAACACTGTGTCAAATATTTCGAATCCATGTTCATAATGTTAACAAATTTATATGTTTGGTATTGATTCTTGTGTCCATCATGCTTCTTCTTATCCTTCTTTTTTTTCCAAACATCTTCTCTGTGTTTGTGGATATTTGTACCGATACTGATAGTTACGGGTTCAAACTGGTCCCGCATTTGATGTCTCTTGTGTTTGTCGTGTTTTTACATTGGCACAGGGGAGGGGACCATTGCCTCTTTTTTTTCTGTTTTTAGCATATAATACGCAGGGCTGACACAAATATGCTCAGTCAACTAGGCCACCACAAGAACACCACTCTCGATACTGGGAATAGAAACATGTCAGACTAGTTTGCTGACTGATGCTTAACAATCAATAACAGGTGTTGTACACCTTAACTACGAGGTCTTATTCTATAAACTACCACTGTACATATATACAACTGTCATGACTCAATAGTATTCAGTAACTTTGTGTGCTATCATACTGAAAAATACAAAACTCGGAGGTATCATGCTAAACCCACGCTATACGGAACAATGAGATGTAGCATCTTATCCATGCTAATCTCAAATAAGATGGCCCAGCACACAGATATTGTGATGAAGCTTCGAAATAAGTTGGTTTTGAAGTAGAGGGGCAACCAAGTGATCTGATTAGCTCATGGACCGGTAGGACCTTGAATTTCGTTGGTGGATTCATTGCGACATTGTGCACCTTATGCTCATAGATCTTGCCATTCTTGTCAAGTTTATAGACAGAAGCACCATCAAAGCGGCCATGCCCATCCCAAGGTACTCGAGGAATGCCGTGGGCAATCCAGCGAATCATGATCATGTTCTCAGCAGGCTGCCATATACTGACTATATCAACCCACAATGCTTTGAAGAAGATCCGGCCAGTAAAACGAAGCGCCCAGAATATCCTTTTGTAATTTTCCAGGCCCTTGAATGTATTCAAAGGATCTTGGAAGACAATGTCATCTCTAAAAAACAGTAACAGATATAATTAGGAAAAGATAAAATGATGGGACAGAAAAGGTAACAAGTTCAGATAGAGCATTGACATACTGTAGACTACTTACTGCATATCATAATTAGTTAAGTGTGACACAAGTAAAGATCTTACTTGGTACTAGGTAATCCAGAAATACATAGTCTTTTTTCTCTTTACCTTAGTTAACAATCATAATTCTTCTGGCTAAGTGTACTTTCAATAAAATAAAGTTAAGCAAATAGCCAAATACTCAGGCACAGTGCTACGTTGCATTGAAATCAAATCGTCCAGCCCAAGAAAAATATATGCAAGCAGCCATGCACTATGATAGCTGTCGTGTAACTCTTTTCCTGTTAATGAAATACAGGCTTAAAACCACGTTCGTGAAAACAAAAAAGACATGCGCTGTGAGAAGGTTGTTTTTCTGAGGTATATTGAGAAGACAATGGTGCAGCACAATAGAAGCCTAGAAATGGAGAAGTATGCCTAGTGTAAGTTCCCACCTGAGTTCTGGATTAAACAACCAAACAAATGGATATAACTATATGGGGAAGTAAAGGCCATGTTACTTGGAGAGAAAAAAATCATGTCTCAAAACAACTATAAAAAGACATAAACCCCTATAAAAAAAAGAGCGCCACAAACAATGTATGGCTGTATGACTATCTAACAGTCAGACAATCAGTAAGATAAGAGGCCCTTTGTTGAGAACTAAACTCTAATAACAGAAAGGAAAGGGGACAAATAGCAACTAATAGTAATAGCACAAACACACGAAAACAGAATGTCATATCACAATAACTCCAATAATAAGACAGCATATCTAATAAATCTAATGCATGGAACTGGCACCATAGGATGTCGTATCACAATAACTCCAGTCAGCCAATACACATCTCAGTTCATCGTGGGGAGGACCGACTCAAAATCAACCGTATAGGATTATAGATTCATCACATAATCCTTGAAAAATACTCCCATTCTCCAAGCTAAATAACACGACTCTATAAACAAGAACCCCGATCATATCCATAGAAAGCACATATCCTAATCAACATTACATAAGAAGAAATATATAGGCTTCATTTCTAGTGAAACTCTTCAGATGCATGGTGGGCGGTGGCACCACCACCAACAGCGCTGCCCATGTCCTCCATTCCGACTCAAAAGCTAACCACTACATCAACAATCAGAGGTAGTCTAGCTAAGCTAAACTATCACTTCCAGGGAAAAGGGAGGTCGTGATACAGGGTCTGACTTCCCAATCAGTCAACAAGCAAAATATTGAGGCCCTATGCAATACCCACCATGACTTGTGAAATATTTATAACTGCAGCTTGTCCCATCTCATTCTGAATATACTCAAGTCTATATACAAATCTGTCCAGTGGCATGGCAGCTAGTGTAGATCACAAGCCATATGGGAAGGCAGAGTAAGCTCATGTATGCACATGTTCTACCTAGAACTAGAAGGTACTAGTTTACAGTGACAAATCTTTAGTAGGTAAGTACAGAAAAGTCTCCTTAACAATAATCAATTGAAGCATTCCGCCTATACCCACGTGTCCCTCGGAGACTGCTAGTGCCGATATTACTGCTGCCTTTGGACAACCTTATCCTAATTAACATTACATAAGAAGAAATATATCGGCTTCATTTTCTGAATATAACTCTTCAGGTGCTTGGTGGCACCACCACCAACAGCGCTGCCCAAGTCCTCCATCCCGACTCAAAAGCTAGCCACTACATCAACGATCAGAGGTAGTATAGCTAAGCTAAACTATCACTTCCAGGCAAAAGGGATGTCGCGAGACAGGGTCGACTTCCCAATCAGTCAACAAGTAAAATATTGAGGCCCTATTCAACATCCGCCATGACTTGTGAAATATTTATAACTGCAGTTTGTCCCATCTCATTCTGAATATACTCAAGTCTATATACAAATCTGTCCAGTGGCATGGCAGCTAGTGCAGATCACAAGCCATATGGGAAGGCAGAGTAAGCTCATGTATGCACATGTTCTACCTAGAACTAGAAGGTATAGTTTACAGTGACAAATCTTTAGTAGGTAAGTACAGAAAAGTCTCCTTAGCAATAATCAATTGAAGCATTCATCACTGGTGAAAAAAACAAAAAAATTATACCATATATTCAATTGGAACCCACCTAAACAGAAATTGTGTAGATCATAAGCGCTATGGGAAGGCAGAGTAAGCTTAGGTATGCACATGCTCTTTTCCTATAGAACTAGAAGTAGGTAACTACAGAAAAGTTTCCTTAATAATAATCAATTGAAGCATTCATCACTGATGGAAGAGAAGAAAAAAAACAAAATCTTCACACCATATATTCAATTTGGAACCAACCTAATTAAATGAGGTCAATAGAGCCCAACCAAAATCTGATCAGTTCAAGAGAAGGATATCGAATCGAACCTGTAGATGTCGAAGCTGGGCTCCT